CTCAGCATCTGAGGAGGGTTGTGATGGTAACAAATACAGCCATGCTTATCCACCCTAACCCTGGGCCTGCTCATGTAGAGATACCGGAAATAGTCCATAGCTATTGGCTTGCAGGGTGAGGTTTTGTTCTTTTTGTAGTTTATTTGACGATTTCACAAGGATTCAAACAAAACAACTAAAATAATTGCCCCAGAAATATCTACTTGTGCAACTTGGGAACACGTTGTGTTGTTCACGGTTGTACTAACAACCAGAGAAAGTGAAATTTGTCGCTCCAAGAACGATGTTTGGAGCATGTTCCTCGGACTAAGAAGAGTGTGGCTGCCAGAGTCGGTTTTCACCGCCTTCGTGGAGATAAGCAACGTAGAACGATGTGGCTTGAAAACCAAAACTTGAAAAAACTACAGCAAACTTTATTTTAAACCCAGGCTTGGTTATTTAAAACTCTGAGTTTGCTCTAAATAAGATTGTGTCCCACCTCTTAAAAAAAACACACGACTAACCTCATTACTTTGTAGGTGCTGATTGTGTTAAGATTGTTCATTGCCTCGCCATCAGACGTGACCAAAAAAGTAGCGAAATTGCTACTCTATATTAGCGTTACTCAGATTCTCATATCATCCTACCACCCCTCAACTGCAGTAGGCAGAGGGATTGTAACAGTGTCCCATTTGAGCTTTGTGTTCCCACAAAGTTTATGTCTTTAAAAGACCTTAAAAGTGAATTAGCGCAAATGGATGGCATCATCCGTCTATGATCGCCATGTTAACAAATGCCAAACAGGAAATAGGTTGTACTTAAAGAATCGTGGGGGATAGGGATAAGGTGGATAGAGTTGGTTGATTTCTGCCATTAACGTCATGCACCACGAACACAGATCCTGAAGCATGAATGTGGAATAGTACTAATTTTTTTCTAAACCCCAGCGTTCCACCAAACCAACAAAAACACCCAAAAACATTTGTGTCACTTGAATTACCACCAATTTTTCCTAATTGGATTGGAAGTTTTTCCAAGCCCTGAATTCCCATTGTGAGCCACACTGGGGCTTGTGGGAGCTGAACAATGGGAGGTATTTTAGCTTCGCTGGGACAAAGAGAGCGCTTATGCTTGCATACTCATGGGCGGAGAAATAACAGACGAAACATAGGAATTAGAAACTGTTTATGTCTGTTGGACGCCCTCTCCACGACATTAGAAGAAGTGAGAGTTTTAGGGCTTTTAGGACAATTACAGTGGTAACAGCACCGCCTATGAGCTGTGTGAGACTTTTAGTTTATGCAAACGGAAAGAAAGGATTAAAATTAAAACTGAAATTCAAAATTGGAAGGAAAAAGAGAGAAGAAGAAGTGGAATCATCCCTGTCAATAGAGATAACCACATGGTTTGGTTTAGCAGGAAGATGTCGGAGAGCGTTCCAGACTCCTGAAGGTCCCGCTGACAAACCGAACGTCTCCTCAGCTGAACAGCGCCGACACTGGCCTTGCTTCTGATTTGTGGCCACTGTGCTTTTATTTGTGTGCGGTTATGTCTCATATCCTGTATTGTCATGTCAGGCGCCCCCTCCTACTGGCTGATGGGCTGCAGCAGCAACAGTGTGCACAGAAAGCAGGTAAATAATGGAGAAGAGGTTTCTGTTTTCTAATCAAAAATCCTGTTTACTTTGCTGTGAGCCCTGTGGGGAAAGACAGAGCAGGAGGTACATCGGATCATAAATCTTCTGTGCCTCGCCGCTTCTACTTTGTCTTCCCCTCTTTATCGCTCTCTTTTCCCTTTCTTCTCGGCTGCAATAGCTCGTTAGCAGCAACCTTGACCTGTCCTGGGCCGAGAGTCCGTAAAGCTGCTGCAGCCTTAGGTCACTTAACACGCGAGAAAACAAAGCAAAACGGTTAACGTTAGTTTTTTTACTTCAAATATAACTTTGATGCTTTAAATAGAAACTCAAAATGATTTCATGTTATGATAAACAAGCAAAATATGAGACTTCTGAATCACCCGATGATACAGCCTCACCTTTGCACACACACATGCAGGCACGCGCGCACACACACACTCACACACACACACACAGCATGATGTTTCCCTGAGTGTGTGTATCTCACACACGCCCTGCTGCGCTACGTGTCATGCATTGTTTATGTATCTTCTATTTCCTACTTTGCTTTTGTGTTTTGGTCTCAGAAACAGCTCCTGACAGGGAGATGATGTTATAAATGCCTGGGTCAAAGGTTACGCTTGTATAATTCATCTTCTCCATCTCCTCCAGTCACACCAACACAGAAACATCAAGCGAGATAAATCGTCTCCAGCCTTATCATTTTACTCGCCTTCCATTTTCCCCCTCTTCATGTAGATTTGTCTCCAAACACCCTTTCTCCTCATTTCCCTTCACCTTTCTTTTTTCAAACTTCTGAGCTCATCCATGCTGAAATCCTTTTCTCATCTTCTCTAGCATCCCATAACTTTTCCCTCTCGCCTTCATTCCACTCCTTCTCTGAACTGCTCATTCACTCTTTCTCTTTCATCCTTCTCCATCTCCCTAATCTTTCTCCCGTCTTTAACATTTTGCACGTAGTGTTTGTGAAGCTTTCAGCTGATAATTAGTTTGTTTTTAGTCCTCGGGGCCGGAGTGACACCAAGTCCACAATGTTAGTTACACAAGCGACTGAAACAAAGTGACAATGTTGACCTCGAATGGATCCGTGGGGCGCAAGGGCTGAGTCAAGACAGGGATGGAAAGTGATGGAGACAGTCCTTCACTCCACTTGAGCAGCTGCTCATCAGACCTTTGCTGCAGTTTATTTACACATGAAGGAACACTCAACAGCTCCTACTGGATCGTTTTGTAGAGCTTCTTTAAAGATAATTAGATGAGTGTGTTAATGTTTTATGAATCTTGATTTGTTCGGAGTCCTCGATCAGACGATGGAGGTTAAAAAGGAGCTTCTATCAGCTAAAAATAGACATTTCACACATCATTTATAAGCTTACCTTTTTGGTGTCAAGGTTTAAATATATTCATCCATCTGGTTTCTGCTGACTATCCTAGATCAGGTGAAGATCCCAGAGGGAGATCCTCCTGGGGGATCTGAAGGTGCTCCCTGTCCAAATAGGAAGTATTATCCCCCCAGTGAGTTCTGAGTCTGTCTGGGGCGCGCCTACAAGTAGAGTGTTCTCACAAAACCTCCAGAGGGGGTGAGCTGGGGGCTTTCTAATTAGCGCTGCATGATATTGGGGACATGAGTACTGGTCGAGGTCACCCATTGAGGTGGAAGCTCTTCTCAGTTTATTGGAAGACTTTGTGATATTGATGAATTTTCAAACAATGTGCAGCCTTGATTGTAGCCCTAGCTTCAGCCCTAACTCTACCATCTACCAGAACCCTAATCAGTCTCCATTTCAGCTTAGACCAGGGTCTTTTGTTCATGATCTCAACCTTGTACTTGTAGGTGATGGTTCCAACCGGACCTCTACCCCTTCCTCTCTACAGACCACACCAATGCTCCCCCGCCCAGTTCTCCATCCATCTTTCATCAACAAAACACAAAGAAGTCAGAACTTCCCTGGGACAAAGGTTTGGTCCCAACATGGAGGAAGCATTCCACTTTTAATTCCAGTAGGGAACCATGATGTCAGACTCAGAGGGTGACAGTCTTGTATTGTGTTAGCTTTAATTATAGGAGCCTGTCTTCAGTGTCTGCTATGATTAAATGATGCCACCTTTTTTTTTTTGGTGCTAACTGTAAATGACAGTCATTTGTCGTCAGCTGGTCCCGCTGTGAGACAGATGTTGGGGTGTTTAAAACTCCCTCACTCCCACTGTTATTACAGGTTTTCACCACCAGTCATTCCTAAATCACAGAGCCGTATCTGTCTGTGCTTTGCACCTCCGTTTCTCTCGCTCTAACTTTATTTGATATAAACTTCGTCTCCAGACACTTGTTCGGTGTTACAAGCTTGCATAAATTCTCGGTTTGCGTTCGAAGACTTTGGCGGAGTCGTGAGGCTTTCCCTGCAGGAAGCCTTGTGCTGTAGAGGGTTTTCTATCAAGCCCTTAAAGACTCGCTGACATTTATGAAGTCAAATATCACTCACAGGGTCCACATTAAAGCCCTTTCTGTGTGCCGGACCGCTTCGTAAATTCTTAAGTGTTGCACTCTACCTGCTTGGGACTGATATGAGTCGGATGGGTTATTCATGTGACACATTTGCAGCTGATAAGTGTCTCATTTTACTTGGAATTGCGATGAATAAGTGATGCTCTTTTCCATTTTTGTCTGGTGTGATGAGAGAATGGGGGAAAAGGTAGAAGTGAAGCGAGGCAGCATGCATCTGACCATCGTAGTTCTGAGTTTATGTTATTCATCATTAAATGACTGGATGGAGAACAGAAACAATGAGTTTCCATTTATTACAAGGAAGAGAAACGCTTCTTTGATGTTCAGCGCTGAGATATTAGATGAGATCTCCACAAACTGGGTGCCACCATTAATAATATCCATCAGTAATTGCACCGTGATTGGGTTATTTATGGGTCTGTTCTGAAACCTTTTCCCCTCCTGAGACATGGTTGAAAGAGTTGCCTCGGTTAAAAGGTCAATCCTGGAGTTTTCATTGTCTCAAGACAAACTGACTGGATTATTTGTGCTCAGCAAAGCATTTCTTGTTCACATGTTCATACGAAGATGTGTAGTAAAGATGTAGCCTGTCATAGCACCACGGTTGACTCACTAGAGTTGTAGAGAGTGAATCAACGATTCTCCAAAGCTCCTTTCTTCCATAAGCCAGAACAACACTTGGCAGTAATCTGAGAACTAATCTGGCTCTGCCAACCAGAACAGGTGCAAACCTGACGAGCTGCAAGGTAACAAAAAGTGAAAAATAAGCTGAGGCTGCCCAGGGTTTTTCTTCATTTCTGTTTGCTGGTGAGAGGATGTAAGATGCTACCAGAGTGTTTGTTGCCAGATCCTCTCTCACTCCCTCCATTTCTCTGTTTCTAGGTAACGATTTGTTCTTGGTGGCTATCCACGAGCTCGGCCACGCACTCGGCCTGGAGCACTCCAACGATCCCACAGCCATCATGGCTCCGTTCTACCAGTATATGGACACGGACAACTTCAAACTACCCCTGGATGACCTGAAGGGGATCCAGAACATTTACGGTGAGGCCGGTGGTGGCTTTGTAGCGCTTAAAGTAACGCTGTCAAACCGACATGGCAGGCAAATCTGAAGCAAATCTGTGCGTGATTAGAAATAATGTGGTTGTTGTGGTGAGCTAAAAACTACTTTCATTATATGAGAGAGCCAACAACATATTGTCACAATGTCTGTGCGACTCTTCAGTTTGCTGCAGATGGTGAATTATAACAATTACATTAACGTTATAATAAATTCTGGGTCTACACCTCTCATCTCTAGATGCCGTTGTAGCATGGTCATTCTGACAGTTACATTATTTCTTAAAATGTGTGTATTTCAGTGGTCTTTTTAGTGTTTTAAAGAACTTAGTTAAAACAAAACATCAGCGTTTGGTCTCTTGTCTACAAACGGGTTAGCTCAAACTATTAGCTAATCCAGAATTTACAACTATGTGTTTTTCAGTTCATTTTGCTTTTGTAGCTCAAATTATTTCAAATCTTAAATCAACTTATTTACTAACGATGTAAGAAAATATTGATATGGCAACATATCGTGATATCTTTTCCAGCGATATTATATCGATATTTAACTCATTCGCTGCCAGCGTTTCTCACCGTTTTTACTGTTTTTCTAAGAGTCACAGAACATTGTGCGCTAGGATGATGTCGACGCCAAAACAACCAAAACAAAACGGAGACTCATCTCTTACATCAGGAAGAATCCGTGCGTTTCGAGCGTTATCCGTTCTTTCATAATCCGTTGTTGAATTGTGATCGGCAGAAGCTTTTCCGGTTCGCGTCTTACTTTTTTTACAGCAGCGACCCAAAACAATCTCCTAACACATGGATGTTCTGCTTCCTGATCACATGACGTGTGACGTATGCGGATGAAGATCGGTTTTAGAGCTGAGATGTTTGTTCTCACAGTGCGGGGGCTCGTTCCGATGCCTACACAGTAAAAAAAAAATGCAAATGACGACTTTAGTCATGTTAAGTATCAGTTTGGACTGTTTATTGAATATTCCTACAATAAATTCAGTCTAAAAAATTCGCTGATAACGTCTGACTGAATGTATCACAATGTATTGGGATACATTGGGTCGTCTCCCCGTATCGTGATACGTATAGTATCGCCAGAATTTCACTAATACACATACTTAATATTTACTATTTCTGCACATTTGAGCAAGCTCAGTTTATCACAATATTAAACAAAAACATGAGGTTGCGGTTTATTTTAGAGACCAGGCTTTAGAGGCCATTAAGAGCCAGAGCCAAGAGCCATTAAGGTTTCCTATACTGTGTCGAGTCGGAGGAGGGGAGTTTTTTTTTTTTTTTTTTACCATGCTACATGTTTCAGCTGGTGTGACTGACACCAGGTAACCATACACCCTCTCTAAAACCACCTGTTGTATTAAATCACTATAAATAAATCCATGCACGAGACAAGTGGAGATGGGAAGCTGTAGTGGCCTCTTCTGTCCAAGCAATCCAAACTTTATGTTTCATCTGTGTAATAAAAATTACTTGTTGAGGAGTTTGTAGCAACAAAATGTTATTTAATCTGCTGCAGAGTCCAACTCAGTTGTGATTTGTAAAGCCCCTGCCTTCCAGAGCTGCTCCTCTTCAGGGTCACACTTGATTTTGTAGCCGTTAAAATCCCTGGATTTACTCCTCTAGGGCGCACACAAAGCTGTGCTCATAAAAGCAAACAGCGACCTAAAAAAATGATCCTCCACTTTTAAAAATACTTTATATTAGGCCTAAAATAATTACGTCTAAAGGAAGTATCTTATGGTTGGAATAATATATTATCTCTTCTAATCCATTTAAAGCAGATAATCTCTGATTAATCACAGATTAAGCCTTCAGTTTGTAATTTCCTCGCTGCGGCAGCACCTATAGAGCACCGTGCTCCCTGGCACACATTTGGAGCTGACAGACTGATTGCTGAGCACTTTGTCTCCTCACAAAGCTGATGGAGCTCCAGGGCACTAGTGTGAAATTTAATTTAACGGTAAAGGATTTATGTAAGCACCAGCGTATTTCCAGTTTTCTCAGAGAAGAATAAAAAGAGCAGCGGTGCGAGTGGCCTCAGACGACGCACGTGCTCTCGCTGGGATGTTGATGAGGACTCCTCGTCAGTGAAACGTTTTTATCTCAGAGCTGGTGTCGGTTAAACCTCTGATTTGTGAGGAGGTAAGTGATGGCATGGTCAGTTACAGCTGTCGCCATTGTAAACCAGTCCCTCTACACACACACACACACACACACACACACACACACACACACACACACACACACACACACACACACACACACACACACACACACACACACACACACTCCAAAGAATCTGCCATCTGCCTACATGATCGGGGCACATCCCTCTGGGAATGAAAGACCCGGGCAAGCGATCAGATCTCTCCTCATCCCTCTCATGTTTTACTTGTCTCCTCTCCACTCCCCCCCTCTTCTCCTGCCGTACCAAGAGTTGAAGAGCAGGACAAGTGATGGCAGCTCCTCTCTGCAGCCAACCTCCTTTTTTCCCTTTTAGCAACACCGATGCTAGTTAGAGACCAAAACAGGGGACGAGATGGGAGGCGCACAGATGGGTTAAAAGGTGCCGGACTCGAGTAGAACGATGATGTGTTGACAGAGTGGTTTAATGAGAGAGTGAAGGGTACGGGAGCTGAGACGAGAAGGAGGAAAACATTATGATCTTTTATTTATAGTCCGAGGGAGTCTGGAGAGTAAAACAAGGAATTGTGGGAGGAAAGTTTTGACTCGGGCTGAGTGAGCTTGGTGTTGAGGAGAAATGGCATCTTGGACGTGTAGCTGTGCTGTTTCTCTTTCTCACCCCAGAGCTTAGGCCTTGACTCTGTAGGGGGGAGATGCCTGGTGGTTGTTTTTACTCCTCAGATCATTTATATTCTTTTTACGAACACATTCAGCAGAAAACATCTTTTAAAAAACTAATAAAAGCTCTAGCGACCTAGAAGTTGTCATGAACCATAACAACAGATCAACTAAGGAAGCAATAGCTCGTCCTTTCAACTCTTAGAGGACAAAAAATGGTACATTCATAGGCGTCATTTTAACCAGGGACGCCGGGGACATGTCCCCGGCAAAATTTGTGATTGGCAGCTGTGCCCCCCCCCCCCCCCCCCCACACACACACACTTTAAAAAAAGCCTGCCTTTATTGTCCCCAGCAATTTTTAAACCCCACTCAAGTGTATGGTTATTGTCCCCAGCAATTCTGAAAACAAACTGACGCCCTTGGGTACATTGTAGAGGACCACTGACTATCCTATTGAAGGCTGTTTCCTGTTTACACAAGCTGCAGATTTCAGCCAACACTCACCATACCCAATCACACATGGTAACACAGTTCTGCTCTGACACAGATCCTTCTTTAGAGGTAAAGATCAAACAGCGATCTGCTGAGGAAAAAAAACTCTAACAAAAGGATGAAGTTTTCTTAAACATCCATAGCTCCTCTACAAAGATTTGAATATAAAGTCTGGTTCTACATTTACCACAATTCAACTCAACATGTCCCTAAAGCCACCAAATGACTAATAATACACGACACTCGAGGGAAATTCTCAAATTTCTCAAAACATTAGTATGGCTCCTCAATGTTCTTCTGAGATGAAAGTTTGAACTTTTAAAAAGAATTGCACGGGTTAACAGATAACTTGGATACTTTCAGCCAAACGTGTAAGCACATAGAACTGAAACGCCCAAAGACCAGGATTAGGAAGCTCTGACATCTCCAAAGATGTTTATGAACCAAGTTTGTGTTATTCCAACAAAATAGTTCAGATTTACTCCGTAATGTTGTCCCAGCCCAGTGAGAAGGCTCATGTATGCCCCTCCGTCACTCTGTAGTTGCATACAAACATGACATCACATGTTCTCTGTGTAGTCACTAGTTAATGTGATTAGATTTCTGTTCTCTCGTCTCAAGTATTCTTGTTCATGAAAGGCGCTGATTGGCCCAGCTGGTTGCCATGGCTTTAGGCCAACATGTGGTCAGGTTGCCTACATACCACACTTAACTTTTTCATTATGGTATTGTGTATAAACAGATGGAAGTGTTTGTATTAACACAAAGTACTTCCTCTCCACTAATCTGAAGGATGTGTTTCAGGGGATTTGGATCAGTCAGTGAGTAGACCTGCTGATCACTTGTGTTTTAAACACGCTTTTCACCCAGATTGCTGCTCTGATTGCTCTTTAAAGATTAGCTAACGCATTCACTTCTTTTATCTTCTCCTCATTTGTTGGATCGTGTCATTATTTTACCACAAACCTGCAAAGATTTGTAAAAACCTTCAGATTAGGTTTTTCATCAAACCCTCTTTCGGAGACCGGTAGCTTTTGCCACTTTCATATTGCAGTCATCTATTCCTGTATCAATGGGGCGACCCCAATCAACACATGGCAACTCATACCCTCACAGTTACAGTGTGTGTTATTCTCGCATTGTCATTTGCTCAATTATTCATGCTCACACAACCCACTTGTTTGCGCTGCTTCATCCTCTCCATTTTCCCCCGAACACGTCACTCTCTTGTAGCTCTTGAATATTAAATGAGTCTCAGCCACACCGGCGTTTCAATCAGACACAAACAAAACCCTTATTTTAAACCATTATTATCTGTTGCATTTGTTACATTAAAGAGATATTTCAATCATACAAGCGGGTATAATATTAATTATGATCTTATTCACTGTAAATTACTTTCTAAGTAATAACATTTTCATTAGTGCCATATTATTTATGTAAACTTATGTCAGTTACAATGAACCCTCATTTTCTTTCATCATAATGCTAACAATGCCTTTCTTGTTATAGCTGTGGAAAATTATTAAAAATGGGAAAGTTGTCTGAGCTCCAAATAGCCTTTGTGGTATTGAAACTGTGATAATAGTTACTCTACGTCGTACATCTAACTAGCTAACAGCTTATTCAAGCACAGCCCGACATCTTAAAACAGCTTAGATCTCCTGAAAATAACTAGCCTGGCCACGAAACATTGCAACGGCTCACTCAAAGGGGCAGAGTCTACGGTTATCTATGAAACTGTCTCCGCATGCGATTGCTCACAGCTAGGACCAGTCAGAGCCATGGACAATATGATCTATTCGCCTCTATGCATGTCAGTCAGCAAGGTAGCCCACCATACACTGTTGAAAACGAAGCAAATACATCCCTTTATGAAATACATGACTTACAAGGTCATGGTCAATGTAAGTTTATTTGTATAGCACCTTCCAGTTACGTGAGCAACCCCAAAGTGCTGAGCAGAATAAGAATCAGCATAGGTTGCATTAAGTAGAGATTTGAAATGTTCCAAACTCTGTGCAGACCTTAGTTGTAGGGGAAGGCTGTTCCATAGTCTCAGACCTGCCACCAAAAACTCTTAATACTGTCTTCTCTTACCTCAAAAATAACCCCAAGTCTAAATAGTCCAAAGTTAACGCAAAAGCCATTTTAAATGAGTGTCGTTTCCATTTTTGTTGCTCTCGTTTTAAGCCCATCCAGCAAACGCAATGGGCTGTCATTGGCCACACAATCTGTTTGGGCCAGTGGTAGACCTGCTGAGGCTATGATGGGGCGTGGCTAGTCCGACTTGCAGAGCACAATCTTTTTGCTGCTGCTACAGTTGGTCTAGATTTCTTGGCTGGGGTGAGTGGTAAGGCAACAAAAGCTACTGCTAGTAATTAGCTTCCATATGTTAACATGTTGCCAACCCACAGTTAACAGACACAAGCTACACATAAGTATAAAATAAACACCATCATCTGTGGCTTATCGTGTGTCACACCTAAAAGGCTCTGAGTTGAAACTTGGACTGTTCTTAGTCAAGACCTTGCTTTGGGTTTTTTTATTTTGAAATTTTTGAAGTTTTTGACATCGTTGTGAGTAAAAATCTCAAACAAAACATGAAATAGCATTTTAGCCCCGCTGCCACTGGCACCTTCCTAGTGGTTCCACACCCTGAGAACATGTTATCGTTACATTATGGTGTGATAAGGCGTGATTCGTTGCTCTCACTTCGCCCATACAGTTAGTTAAACAGGTGGTTTGGGTGTAAAGCAACATGCTGCTGCTTTGTGTGCCACAACAAGTGAGATTTATTCCTTTGACTCCCTCCAGGGCCGCCTGATAAGAATCCCCAGCCCACCAAGCCTCTACCCACGGCTCCCCCTCCACGCTCCCATCCTCCCTCGGACCCTCGAAAACCAGACAAGCAGACACGACCCCCAAAGCTTTTCCCAGGAGACAGACCGTCCAACAAACCAAGCATCTGTGATGGAGGCTTCAACGCCTTGGCCATTCTGAGGAGCGACATGTTCATCTTCAAGGTAAATGACAAGTCTGTCACATCAAAACAAACCTGGGGCCTCTCCACATTTATTTTCAGCAGCCGTTTTGAACCTCAGAGGTGTTTTGCTTCCACCTAAACCCTGCATCTCTTCAATCAGCCTCTGCAGACCAAAACAACTCTGCATGCCTGGAGATGTTTGACATCTTTTGCCAAAAATGTTTGACGTATCAGCTGATAAATGCAGCTGAATCAGAATGCCTTAGTTCAGACCCATGTAAACGGCCCCAGGTGTCCAGACTGCCTAAGGAGGAGGAGGAGAGTGCAGGATGGATCATGGGGAGCCTGCATGATTACATACATACACAGAAGGTGGGGGCTTTTCTGCTAATCTCCTTCATGTGTTAGCATGTGTGGAGAATAGGGATGAGCGAGTACACCACTATCTGTATCTGTTCAACCAACTAAATGATCTGTATCTGTATCTGTACTCGGAATGGGCGTGGCATAACCCGGAAGTGGGCGTGGTTTAACCAGGAGTGGGTGCGGTTTACATCAATACATTATTTTAAGTCTGAAATTGATATGGACTGATCAGAAGTTATGTGTATTGTTTATTTGAAAACTATTTACACAGCAGCCTCAGAATTGAGATTAAATATTTTTGATCACAATAGTAAAGAAAGTATTACAGAACAAGTTTTTCAATAAAATCAGAACATTAATATTTAAGTGCATGGATTAATACATCTGAACTCATGCAGTAGGAACTAGGAAATATGAAATGCTAGAACCAGACACAACTTTATATATATATATATATATATATATATATATATATATATATATATATATATATATATATATATTTTTTTTTTTTTGATTAAACTGATTTTTTTCTTAACGTTCTTGGCATTTTGCCCCGCACAAAGTTAAACAAAACAATGTTGATTAAGGTGTGTGTGTGTGTCTGAGAGAGATAGAGAGGGTGAGAGGGAGAGAGATGGAGTTAAAAAAATAAAAAAAACCCGACCGGAGCGGAAGTAGTGAGTTAATGCAGCACGTCAGCTCTGTATTGTCAAATGCACCATGTAAGTTACGAAAAAAGTAACTTTAAATATTCAACTGAAAAAGAGGCGAGCTGAAGAAAACCTAGGGAAAACTGAAGAAACGTGAGCAACAGTGAAGCAATCACAGCGAGATCCGTTACTGTCTGTGTGTGTGCGTGGATGAGCCGGACGGACTGTGCTCCCGGCCGGCTAGAGAGTTTTGTGTGTAGGGAGGGGCGGGCGCTCTATGTGACTGGCCAATCACAGAGCGTGAAGACAGTCAGTTACCCAATGGAGATTTTCCTTCAGCACGATTACAGATATTTCCGAGGTTTACTCGTCTCATGCTCGTATTCGTCAAAAATGCTTTATCCGTACCGGATACTCGTCTGAAACGAGTATCCGGCTCATCCCTAGTGGAGAAGAACAAGTCATTTAAAAGACTTGGTTGGAAATGTGGCTAACGTTTTCTAGAGAGCAGGTCTGACAGCGATGTGACAGCTTAGAGGAACCGGTGGAAGCCACTCGCTGCCTTAAAATAGGAAGCTCTCATGTTTGAGGTAGCTCTCCTCAGATTATTTGGGTCCCATTGATCAAATTTTTGGATGAAGTTGAGATCTTATCGAGACAAAATTCCGTGTAGTTTCCCTTTCCTTCTCGTGAGCTTTGCACTTTCCCTTCAGTAGGAGCAGAAAACGCCTTTATCCTCAGAGGAAGCCTGAGAGCTTTGGGATTGATTCAGTAAGAAACACACACAAAGCTGTCCTGTGTTCCTCACACAGGGGAGAATAGTGACTTTTCTTTATGAGAGAGGGACTTTATTTTTTGAGGATATAAATAGATAGGTTTCCCTGGTTAAATAAGAGACTTGTGGAATCTTTGGAAACCCCATGTCCCCTCTGTCCATCCAGACATCAGGTCTTTTACTGAACCGCTCAAAAACAAATCCTACTTGGAGCCGGTGCTGCTACCCATGCAAGTTCTCTGCCAAAACTAGACTCAGAACACTCTTAAGCTTGTTTTGTTGCAGAAACCAGATCTGTGTGTCAGAAAAGCCTAAATTCCTCCACATGATGTCTGCTGCAGCTCCTGTCAGCGTGCATTGCCTGGTCTGATAGCGTTATGGGCATCATGGGATCTCTGCTGGCTTCATTTAGCTTCAGCAATCAGCCAATTCATGTTTAATCTCAGGAAGTTTGGGAGACAAAGACTGAAAAGCTTTAAAAGTTTTGTTTCTGCGATCAGGACGTTTTATTTTTACTACCTTTTCCAGCTTTTCCTTTTAAACGTTTCTCACACCTGTTTCTAATGTAAAATTATGCTTTCATTGTTCTGCACCACCTCATGCATTCTCTAAAAAAAAACTAGTTCTTAGTGTTTAAGCTCCAGATTAGTGCTGATGCCAGTTTTAATGAAGTCACATTTTTCTCACTACTCCATTTGTTCTGTCATAAAACTGATACCATCATCAGAGTGTTTTAGTGTTCTCACCTGTTTCACCTTCACCAGCCTGGAACGGCGGTCCAGTTGGACCCTAGGAGTCAGCCAACACCCAGAATGGAGCATGCAATTCAATGTTTATAACAAGAGGAGTGACTGACTTCACTCAACTTAACTTGGTTTGACTTGACTTGACCTCACTTGGTTTGACTGGACAACAAAATATTGGTTGATTTAACTTGACTTTACTTGGTTTGGCTCAACTTGATTTCATTTGACTTTGCTTAGCTTGGTTTGACTAGACTTAATTTGACTTGACTCAACTTAGCTTGGTTTGACTTGACTTGACCTGACTTGGTTTGAATGAACTTAACTTGGCTTGTCTTTAATTGGTTTGACTGTACTTCGATTGTTTTGACCAGACTTAACAAGATATTGGTTGATTTAACTTGACTTGACTTGGTTTGGCTCAACAAATTTCATATGACTGTGCTTAGCTTGGTTTGACTAGACTTAATTTGATTTGACTCGACTTCGCTTGGTTTTACTTGACTTGACTTGGTTTGGTTTGACTTGGCTGGATATGCCTACAGCAGGCTGTGTGAGGCATGGAGCTGCACGTAGATGATCTGTTATCAGACGTGCGGCTGCGGGAAGCTTTAATCAGGGGGATCTCAGGTGGAAACAATTGAGTCCCAGGTGAACAAGGTTGGGTCATTAGCGCAGAGCAGAGGGAACATGAAAACAGTCCATGAACTAAATCATGATGCCATTGTTGGCACGCAGGACAGCGAAAACCCATCATTTCAGCATGCACATGCACCTCACTGGGAGTAGTCTGGTTTCCATATGTTTTACCAGAACCAGCACACATTCTCCCAAAGAAGACTAGAATGTCCCGACAGTGAGAGTTGATTTGTTGCAGAAGTCACGATGCAGCTGTAAATCCGCTCACATCATTAGGACCACTGCTTATGTGAGGACTCGTAGAGTAATCCACCTCTCACGCTTGTGAAAAACGTTTGGTAGTTTCAGATCAACGTATGTTTGACACTGATTCACTTTTACTGGGAGGAGCAGGTGGTCCCAATATGTCTTAAATCTCAGCTAATGTTTTTCCAGTTTTCTCCTAAAGCGCGGACATATCGTGTTAACACCTCACAGAGGAAGCAGCCCAGCTAAAGCTGTTTATCTGGAATCATAATTACAGATGTTTGTTTGACTCCAGACTCTGATAAATGCCCCTTTAAACCCTGCCAAGCCCTACCAACCAGACTTATTTCTGCTTATAGAGCAGGAATAGTTCTTCTAACGTCTCGTTTCCGTTTACTTAAACCTTTTACTATCATGTGATTGTTGTTTTTCCCATTTGTTCACAGCTGAATTGATTATTTGCTTGATTACATTGCTTTGTGGGTCTATTTGGCTTCCACATCTCAGCTTTACTCACTATCCCATTCCCTCTTGATTGTTTTGGAAGACAGGGACGTAGTCAATGCCAAGTCAATTTAACAGATCTTAGCAGTTGGAGCAGCGGTTTTGTGGAGTGGGGAGTTTATCTGGAGTAACACTCTGGAAGCAGAGCTGTTCTCTAACAGGCCAAAACTACATTTACATTGTTTCTCAATCTGTTGCTCCAGCTTGGAGTGACTCATCATATATTGATTCATTTTTCCAGTTAACAAACATGTGACTCATCATGGGCTTTTGCATCTCATTGGGAGGATCTGAGCAGCACTAAGAGATCAGGCGCTATTTAATTAGTTTTTAAAAGGCACAAATAAGGCAAATAAAGCTTTTTTTGGTCAGTTGCACATGGTTGAAGGAGGGGGGCGGAATAATGGCATGACTCGAATTATTCCCCCTGTAGAAACGGTGGGCGTTACAATAAATGAGAGGTTTTTAACATCAGTCAAATACAACATTTCTGTCTAATTCTCTGGGTTGATAGTAGGGTATGCTGACTGATGTAGGAAGTGTTCTGTTCTCGACTATTCCTGCCTTAGTTCAGCATTTTCACTCAAACGAGCCCAAAAGCAGGTTTCTGGCATCAGGAAACGGGGAAGCCAGAGCTTGTTTGCTGCCCTGCTGAGACTGAGGTCACAGTTTTCCAGAACACTCAGATGCTCCACATTCAGAAGAGTTCATCACATTGCTTGGGAAGAGTGCTCCATATGCAACTACGTGGCTTATTAAAGCAGCTGCAGTGTTTCCCCTAGGAATTTTTCCAGCTGTGGTGGTGGGTGAGGGGGGGGGGGGGGTATGTTAATATTGTTTTATTTGATGCACTCCACTTTGAACTGCACCAATCCAGCAACTGCTGCATTTTATTAACTAGTATTAAAGGTGAATACACCAATATTTGCACAAGAATATTTTTTATTTTAAACTCTCAGTGACACACTTTGTAGGGGGGGGGGGGGGGGGGTGGCATTTAATTTTTCTTGGCGTCTGGAAAAACATCTCCTTCTGCCCCCTTTATTTTGGTCCAAGATCATTACTGGGCTGGCCCTATTAAAAACGTTCTTCACCCCTGCTTAGTAGACTTAAT